CTACTCTCTTAGCAATCAGTAGCAAAGCTCCTAGTGGCTTAAATGAGAACAGGATTAGGACCATTATTAGAACATCCCTGAATGCAAATAACTCTCTTATGATATGAGATCTTGATTGGTTGTAGCTTTGTATTACACCGTGGAGACACTTTTGTCCATCAAGAGGGAGAATCTAACATTCAAAATTAAAGACAAAGCTGAAACCTATACAAAAAAATGACAAAAGGAGGAAGGCAATATATAAATCATTTCCTTATGACAATGGTTTTCTAAGCTCAAGTAATCAGTTACTTTTCATGACTGCAAGTAAAGTATACTACAGTTTGCTTTAATGCTGTGAAAGATCCTATATTATCCAAAACATAAAGCCTGATTTTACACAGAAGCTTTGTAATGCCATAAAACCATTTCTGACCCACAAAAATGAGAGACCACACATCGGGCATCCCTGTTGAATGGTTATTCATGTGATTGTGCCAACTAAATTACAACAGCACATTCTGCATGAGGAACACTTGGGAATTGTTCCAGTGGAGGTATTAGCAAGAAGTTATGTGTGGAGGCTGGACAAGTTCAGTGGGTAAGACTCAGTCCTGGGGTGTAACTCCAATGAAGGCAGTAGAGTTACACAAGGAATGAAGTTAACTCCTTGCTGTCATTCCAATGAATGGTTTGGGGTGTGAGCATAAGCCAAATATGCCAGCACTAACACCATCACATGTATGACTGTGGTTCAGGATGGACTTTGGCGGAGAAGCCCTGTGGATTTTGCAGGAGCACCTTGGGGAGAAATGTTTTGTGGTTGTTGATGCTGATGTGCATGCTAAATCTGCATTATTTATAGCAACTAGTGAATAAATAGCCTTAAGGGAGTACTATGCTTTTTTTTTTTTTTAATACAGCCAGCCAGTTAGTTCACAGTTTGCATTATAGGAATTTGAAATCTTTTTCATTTCAATAAATGGGCTCAAACGTCCGGCGTGCACCTTTATAGATGCACCATTTCCATCACTGGTTTAGGGCAAAGAGTTGTACTGTCATTTAAATAAAGTTTAAACTCTTAAAAGACAGTACTTCAACCTGGTACTCAAACATGTTGACAGTCTGGTTGCCTATTGTAATCTTCTTCATATCAATACATGAGCCATGTTACTTTTTGGTAAAAAAAAATTAAAGTAAAACTATATCAGATATGATCTGAAATTCAGGAGGATGTTGCAGTAAAACAAAAGAAGTTTGGGGCACAGAATGCTAGCGTAGGAATTTGAAGTTCAGATGCTGTATTCTAGCCAGGAGCACTGCAAGCCAAGAGAGAAATAATTGGGTATTATCAAAACTTGTGGCACAGACAGAGCCAGTATCTTACAGCACCCAGGCAACTTTAATTCTGCCCCCTGGTGCCCATGCATTATGATACAGTATTCAAATACAGGATGGAAACTATTTTTCTGGCAGGACCCCTTCCTGAATCAGTGCACAGGATGGACAGTGCTCTGGGAATCAGCTAGCTGTTCAATAGTTCTCTTTCTCTTCATAATTCAATGTATGGGCCCTGCCTTCTTCACCTTGCCATATCCAAACTCAGGGCTCAGTACAGAATTATTAATTTCCTCATGGAATTTTTTTATGGTGCTCTCACAATACATCTGCACCTCACAGACCAGAGCTTCCTAGAAGGGGGAGGAGGGGCAGTTTGACCAAGGGCTCCCTCAGAGGGGCATTGCAACTTGGGGTCTCAGCACCACTCGGGTTTGGCCCACCTGCCCCTCTGGCATGAAGGAGGAATGGTCAGGCAAATTTGAGTGAGTGGCATTGTGACCTAGTGCATGGTGTTACAGCACCACTCAAGTTTGCATCACGTGTCAATACCTGGAGTGGGGAGCCCAGCCCTAGTGGACAAGAGCCACGGCTATGGGGTGAATGAATGGCAGGCTTATTCTCCAACCCCATCTTGCCCCTGGGCCTGCCCTCATTGGTAATTTTTTTGGAAGTGTAGGGGGCTCAGTTTCAAATTTTGCTCCAGGTCCCAAAAAAACCTCTCTGCGGCCTTATCACATACACCAATGAATTTATCTGCACAAGTCTCCTGTGAGGTATGGACATAGCCTCTCCTTTTCACAAATGAAGAATTAAGATCAGAGATAATAGCCCAACATTTGCAGAAGTGTACACAAATTTTAGAGCCTAATTTGAGAGACCAAAGGCCTGCATTTTCAGGTGCTGAGAGCCCATTGACTTCAAGTGGAACTGAGAGTGTTCAGCACTTCTGAAAATCAGACCCTCAAATTCTCAGGCTGGGCAAAACAGTGGACACTTTTGCAAATGTTGGTCTTATTCTCTTTGGGCCAGATTTTGGAAGGTATTTAAGCACCTAGAGATGCAGATGGGTGCCTAAATAGCTTTGGGGATCTGGCCCTTTGTGCCTCGATTCCCCATATGTGAAAAGGGGGATACTATTTCCCTTTCTCACATGGCAGTTGTGAAAATAAATCCAGTCATGTTTCCAGAAAATGAGGAACACAGAATCAGTGACTACCGCTGAAAATTCTGACTGATGTGACTTACCCAAGAAGATGAAAAACCTCCAGGGTCTCTGCCAATTTGACCTGGGGAAAAATTCCTTCCTGTCTGCAAATCTGGCAATCAGTTAGACCCCGAGCATGTGGGTAAGATCCACCTACCAGACACCTGGGAAAGAATTCACTGTAGTAACTCAGAGTCCTCCCTATCTCTGGCAGTTGGAGATACATTTTAAAAACCCTCCATGATTGCAATTATTTCATACTTTAAGTCATGAAACAAATCACTTTATGTGCACTGAAGAGATGTTACACGTTTTAGACTCTCCCCCCACACACATTGTGTCACACACTGGTATCTGCGTGCAATCACAAAACTGCTTCTATTCAAGGCTTCTGGATATGGTGTCTATTTATTTGAGCAACACTTAGTGACAAACATGCCACTGTTTTTGCTGCGCTTGCTGCTGCTGAGACTGTACTACATGTTTGGTGTCTGCAGTGGTATCCCTCTGCCTAACCGGCACAGCCAGATAGACCGCCTTCGGGGTGCTCTTTTAATGGGAGCCAGGGTTCTGTGGCATTACTGTGTATTGATGAAGGACCATAGCTTACTACTGCACACAGTCCTTGCAAGATGAAGTACCGTTGCTGCTTGCCCAAGCTTTTGGGAGAATTGAATGCACCTTCTCCTCCCTCAGCAGATATGCCTGCATTCTGCTTCTGCTCCTTCTCCCTCCTGCTTTCCTCACTCACTTCTTCCTTTTCTGGTGTCCTCCTTTCCACCACTACCCATCCCCGCCATCATCCAATTCCACCATTTGTTTGTGCATATGTGATGTGTGTATCTATTACAGTGGTCAAAAGTAGCGTACATTACAGTTGACTGAATTCTAGCTTCTATTCTGGCAGAGTTGGAAGTGGGTCTTAACTATGCAAGACTATCCTTTGGAGTGTCACTTCTGATGTGAATTGCCATAGCAATTCTGTGTATCCTAAGGGCCAACTCCTGCAGTGTGTGTATTGGTAGAAAGGCAGAGGGAACCTACTCACCCCCTTTTTCATCTTCCTGTGTGCAGGGGGCAGTGTGTTTCCCTTACAAACAAAGCACTAGGGGGGAGCCAGGTTAGGTGGGTGGGTGGCTGGTGATGAGACGTGACCAGCCCATCAGCTAAATAGCTAACGTGTACACTTGAGACAGCAGTGTGCGTCAGCTGGGCCGCAGGGTGCCTCACATCAAGGAGAAGCAAAGTGTACTCAATAGTGCATAGCACCTGCACACACAGAGCCAGCGGCATGGTTCTTGTGCTAGACGCAAGGGTTTGTACCCTGCTACTAACCCCTCTGTCACCCCTGCTTCAGTCCATCCAGTCAGGGTAGGATTTTGCCTGAAATCTGTTGTGGGTTTGATTCACTCCTGTAATTGGGGAATGCAGCTTCTCCCAGACACAAGCAGCTGACCTATTTGCTTTTAATTATTTATGATAATGAAATAGAAAAAAGGCAAATTCTCAAAATTTTTCCACGAAAATGAATACACTTTCAGTTCAGCTCTATGGCCATGAAAGAAACCACAGTTCACTGCCATTGCTTATAAAGTGTATTTGTGTTTAAGTTCAAATCAGATGAAAATCTCAAACCAAATATACTAAATGGAGGAAATTAAGGTGGATCTTTTTTTTGATAACTTTCCCAAGAAACACACATGGATAAGCATACTTCTGCAAAACAAATACAATGTTTATGTACTTGGACACTCAGATGTCAGAGATTCAGAACTAGTAATGAGGTTTGCAAACCATTAATTATTTATCTTGTTTAATGATGGAACATACAAATGCCAATGAATACATGCAGATACAATGTTTCAAAGGGAACGTGTTTACTGTAAACATGCCAATACATTTTTTGGGTGGAAGCCTGTGAACAAGAATAGCCCCCAAGGAGGAGGAAAATAGACCTCTCTCTTTGTTTTCATTTTCGAAAACAAACCTGACAGAATAGGCAGAGTCTGCCAATAGCATGAAAAATAAAGCCTTTTTACTGGTTGAACCCCGCAGCTTCGCTATTTAAATCACTCCCTTGTCCTACTATTTTATAGAGTAGCTATTTCTAGCTAGTAGTTGGCAGCTTTGTATCCCTGGACAGATATACGGACTGCCCTGAGAAGAGTCAATAAAGTCTGGGTTTTGGTTTTGGTTTTTAAATAATTTTCAAACCATACTTTATTAAAGGTTTCAGAGTAGCAGCCGTGTTAGTCTGTATCCGCAAAAAGAAGAACAGGAGGACTTGTGGCACCTTAGAGACTTGTGGCACCTTAGAGACTAACAAATTTATTAGAGCATAAGCTTTCGTGGACTATAGCCCACTTCTTCGGATGCATATAGAATGGAACATATATTGAGGAGATATATATACACACATACAGAGAGCATAAACAGGTGGGAGTTGTCTCTAAGGTGCCACAAGTCCTCTCATACTTTATTAGTACTCTTGTGAGAACAGCATCTTGCTATTCATTGCCTGTGCACAAAGAGTTTGCCAACTAGCCCAGTGACATGGCTGCTACTGCACTCAGTTCTAGCTAGACTTCAGGACTCTTATTTCTACACCCATCCCCACCCACTCACCCCTCTAATGTGAGTAGCCAGAGAGTATCATGGAGGTGACAGTGTTAGTCTCCTGCAGAGAGCATGTGGTTTTTGCACACCCTCTAGTGGCTGATCATGGAGCAGCATTATAGTGATCTTAGCAGATGCAGACTTCCCTTTTGGCCTTTGACTAACGGCAGCATTGTGAAGCCAGAGGAATGGGATAAACCCGGGACTGTTAAAGGGTAGAAAAGGCTGGGAAAATGTGCTTTGGGAAATGAAATCACCTAATTAATATAATTTGGATATGAAAATATTAGTGATTTTGGCTAACCGATACATTTTCTAAATGAAGTCTTTCAAATGCTGTACTGTAGATCCAGTAGGGTGACCAGATATCCTGTTTTTAAAGGGACAGTCCCATTTTGCGGGACTTTTTCTTATATAGGCGCCTATTACCCCCCACGCTCTGTCCCATTTTTTCACAGTTGCTAGCTGGTCACCCTAAGATCCAGAGAAGGAAAAATTCCCTCTGGCACTAGATTTGATGCCCACCATTGTAATTTGCTGCACTGCAGTTTATAACCCATATATAATAAGAATTATATCTGCTTAGCACATCCTGATTTGCTTTAAGTCGTACTGGAGTCGTCATTAGTTCTAGAGTAAGAGACAGATGGAATGGGAACTAGGGAGCTGTTCAGAAGTGGTGAGCTGAATCTGTTCTAGTTGTATGTATAGTGGGTGCACATGGTAATTGCAGCCTTACAGTCTATCACATTCAATATCAGGGTTGGTAGATGCAGAATCAAAGGTACCAAAATACACTTCCCTGTTTTTGGGAGGTGGGGTGTTGGTTGGACTCCCTACCCCAGAATCAGGACTGGCTGCAGGCTGGACCGCCGCTGCATATTTCTCTTCTCTCTGAGAAGGAGAAGGCTCCTGCTTCTGCTTGAGGTTTTTGAAGCGTTTGAGCTTCACGGGGTCCTTAGTCTCCTTAGCACAATGCAGCAAGACAAAAATGTCCCTTCGGAATTTGGAGCTCATTCCAAAGTAGATAATGGGGTTGTAGAAGCTGGCAGACTTGGCAAACAGACTGGCAAAGATACTGGTTAGATTGGGCACAGAGTAGCCACAGGCAGACCAGATTGAGATGACAGCATATGGAGACCATGCTATAATAAAGGCTGTGCAAATGACAATAGAAACCTAGGAAAGAGAATGAAAACATCTTTTATTTTCTTAAGACAATACAGTACATTGGATTAAACTAAAGAAGCAGAGAGATGCAGTGTGGTTTGATGGCTAAGAAACACCTGGCTTGTATTCCCAGCTGTACCACTGACCTGCTGTATGACCTTGGGCAACTCATTTCACCTCTCTGTGCCTGTATTTTCCCTCCCACGCTTCATCTTAGATGGTGAGCAATTTGAGGCAGGGACTGTCTGTTACTATATGTTTGTACAGAATCTAGTACATTTCTTATATGGAAAATGTAGCGATTGTCTGTTTTAGATGAGGAATTGAGTGTACGTCTTCATTGTCATATGTTATTGTATATGATGGAAACCACTTCAGGTCAGGGGGTGCTGTTGCACCCCCAGGTCTGCTAGTTCCAGCACCCCTGCATTAGGACACACTATGGACCAGATTTTGCAACTTTTGCTCTTTGGTTCTTATTCATAGATGTTGTCTGGCTTTGTTTGGACAGCTCAGATAGGTATTTCTCAAAATAAATCAAAGATATAGAATTGGGTCCACTCTTAATATTTACTGAGATAAAAATAGCTAAAATCCTTTGTAGACCCCTGGTTTTCAGAAGTGCTGAGAATCTCACAACCCCAGTTGCGACATCAGTAGGAATGATGGGTGATCGTCTCGTCTGAAAATCAGGCTCTAGGCCCGTGGTGGGCAACCTGCGACCCATTAGGGTAATCCATTGGCAGGCTGCCAGACAGTTTGTTTACATTTGCATGGCCGCCCGCAGCTCCCAGTGGCCGTGGTTCGCCATTCCTGGCCAATGGGAGCTGCGGGAAGCGGTGGCCAGCGGCTGCTGCCTGTTGCCCACCACTGTTCTAGGCCAATATTTTCAAACATAATACCTAAAAAGTTTGACACCTTAGGCACTAAATAAATGCCCTGGTTCTTAGAAGCATTTGACAGAGAGTGTTCCCAACGAGTGTAATGGAGTAGTGGATATTCAGCACATCTGAAAATCAGGCCACTTACTTGGGGCCTTAAATATGGATTTAGGTGCCTAACTGTAATTTACGTTTGATTTTTTTGCCACTTATATTTTGAAAGAATTGGGATGAAGATGAAGGGAATATGAAATAAAAACAGTCAACTAAGGGCAGAAAAAAGAAATAGGAAGGGAGTCTGGAAAGAGGACCATGAAGAAGAAAGAAAAAAGATACAGATCTGTCGCATCTTACGCGCATTCAACATGGGCGATTTCAACTTTACATGGTCGGCAAAAACAAAACAAAAAAGAGAAAGATAACAATTTCAACACTATACCTGTAGTGCGGGCGATTCCGCCCACCATTGAACTCAATGGAATTTTGACTATACGTGGTTTTCGCTTTAAGCGCTAACTGCAGAACGGAACCTCCGCGTAAGACGAGACAGACCTGTACATGGTAGAAGGACAGAGAGTGGGGGTTGGAAGGGTGGGGAGAAATGAAGGAAATGTAGGATAAGAATCAAAAGGGAAAAGAAAGGAGAGCAGAAGAAAAGAGTAGGAAGAAACAGTTTTTTATTATACCCTGGTTTAATAATTAATAGTGGGATTTTTAAAAGCACTCCGCTTTTACTAAATCTCCTATTAACTTTGATGGAACAGGAAGCAGCGTTAGGCCAGTGATTAGCATTTTTGAGAATTCCACCATAAGTTTCTCTCTGCACAGCACTGTCGCTTCAGAAAAAGAAGAGGATACAATCTTTGGTGATCCATAAATAAAGTACTTCAGTTATATTTTCTCCATATTTTTGACTGACTGCATGATTTTTTTCATGTTCTGGTTTAATGTTCATTTGTGATCCAGTTTGATAATAAGTCTTCAATTTCTTCACTGAACTCTGATGCTGTTTCTATAGAACATAGAAGATTATTTTCTTATATACTACAGATATACTAAGCACCCAGACGTACCCGAGTGACATTTCGCTCCATTCGCCTCTGCCTATCTGTTGGATCACCCATTCCAGTTAGTGCATGGCTTGACTTTACAGTATTGATGATGGACACGTATGAGAAGACCATGACAATCACAGGTAGGAAGAAACAGCAGATAAATATAGACACAATGTAGGACTTGTAGATTGTAGAGAAGTTGGCTTTTGCCCAGTCTATCTCACATGTGCCATACATGCGATCTAGAAAACAAAACAATTTGGTTAGCTTTTTTCCTTTTAACATATTTCCCCTTTATCAATCTTAAACCATTTGAATTATCCATTTAAAACATAGTTTTCTTCTTTTAAAAAGCAAAGAACCAAGTGATCATGGTGATTTAATGAATTATGAGATAATGTTCTATAGACCCAATTTTCTAAGACCTCATGGATTGCAACAAAATGTATTACAGGCTACTTGCCTCTGATTTAGATTTCTACTGCCTATCTAGCATGAAGAAACCATTGTTGGGGGGGACAGTAAAGTGTGATATTTTAATTCCCACTCTTAGAAAAATGGTTATTAATTCTGTAGGTTTTATACTATTGTAAGTTATGTTCTTCCATTTGCTATTACTTGCTACACAGTAACTTTTTCTCAGATCTCGGTACCAAACAGCATAATAATAAGTTATTGTATCAAAGATAATACAACAAGCAATTAACTAACAAATTACAAAATAAGAAATAGGAATAAAAAATACAGTAACTCCTCACTTAAAGCTGTCCCTGTTAACGTCGTTTCGTTGTTACGTTGCTAATCAATTAGGGAACGTGCTCGTTTAAAGTTGCGCAATGCTTCCTTATAACATTGTTTGGCAGCCGCCTGCTTTGTCCACTGCTTGCAGAAAGAGCAGCCCGTTGCAGCTAGCTGGTGGGTGGTTGGAACCAGGGTGGACTGACAGCTCTCCCTATCAGTTCCCCGCTCCCCTAAGTTCCCTGTGCAGCAGGCTATCAATTGCAGCTGTCCCTCCCCCCAGTGCCATGTGCTGCTCCTGCCCTCTGCTTTGGAGCTGCTCCCCAAGACTCCTGCTTGCTGTGGGGGGGGGGGAGGAAAAGGAGGGCTAATGTCAGGGTGTCCCCCTCCC